AAACAGAATTCTTTGAAACCATTAAAGGGTTAACAATAAATAAACAAATGTCCAACAAAAACCCAAACACAAAAATCCGACAGAGGAACTAGAAATGCAGACTAACATACACGAACAAAAACAATGGACCAGCAACACAAGAGAGCGATCACAGGTACATGTTGACAGAGACACAGGTGAAACACATGCGGGCGGGGTAGACAATCAAACAACGGAACAAGACAGGAAGTAAAACTGAAAATGAAACCACGTCTAATATCAAAATAAAACCAATTAACAAGCGATCTACACCATGACAAATCTATCATTATCAACTCTCACTTCTCGGCAAAAAGCAAAGACAGTAAATCAGGAGAGGACAGACCGAGAGCCGACATCACCACAACTGTCTTATTTGAACTGAAAGTAGCTGGAGCTAATTTCCTTATATGGGCATTTCTTCTTCTTCTTATATTATGTTATTTGGACCTGGTTTAAAAAAAGACCAAAAGTAAAAGTAAAACACAGTTAAACCCAGGATAAACTTAAGCTTAAAATACATGGGAAACTGTGCTAAAATTAGAGTTGAAAAAGGGGCTAAAAATAAAGGTTGAAAATAAGCTCCACGGTTTCGTCCTTGTCCTCGCTCTTTAGTTCTCTCGTGGCTCTCCGGTCCGCTCTTCAGTTTCTCGTGGTCACGGCCTTTTGCCTCCCCGTGTCTGGCCTTGTGTCCGTTCTGTGTCTGCTTCCTCCTCCCTTCCCCATCTCTGCTTTTTTCATACTCAAGGCGCAGGTGTTACAATTGTTCTGTCACAAGAGGAGCTGGGGCGCTTTGGGTTGTGCTCGTCATTAAAAAATATCAAAAACACATACAACATCATTTAAAACCCACCACCCCTTTTGCACCCACCGACACTTGTGTTGGCTTCACGCTCTAACATGGGCAGACGTGTTGCTAAGATGGTTGCTAAGGCGGCTGATGAGGCAAGCTGGAGTTTCCCCCATGGATGAAGGCATTGGTCGATCCTTAGTATGGCTCACACCTGACAACATCACAGTGTGGGTGAGTGTGACAAAAACAATTACTGAGCTAGAGGAGTTTACTTTCCAAAGTTAGTCCATGGGAGCCAGAGCGAGAAACTTTCCCCATGAGCACTTTCCTATCGGGCTTCATTGAGCTTGTAAGTTAGTATTATCCATCTGGCTGCAGTCCATAGCAATAAGATCCTGGGTTGGGCTGTTTAGGTTTTTTGCAGGTGCTTTGCTTTCCCCAACCACTAAAACCATGTGACGAAGAGGTGGATCGAGCTATGGCGACCACCGGAACCGTCTTCTTGAAAATATGAGACAGGCTTCTTCTCTGACAATGTTCTTTTTAGCGATTGTCCTTCACTCTTTTATGTAAGGTAAAGCAATTATTTACGTTTTAAAAGCCTTGCGTGATTCTTTCTTGCTCTTACCTGCATTTTGTTCCGCACTTTGACTTGCCTTGCGTCTGATCTGTGCTATACAAAAAAACTGGCCTTGTCTTGGCCTTACCCCTTACCGAGCCCGCTATAGTCGAGTTGGAGAAGGAGTTAAATGCAAAGAACAACTTCCCCTACAGTGAATCTCATCATAGAAGCACAACTAGAAGCAACAAAATGGCCGCATTGACCACTGAACCAAGTCACGTTAACATTAAGAATACTTTAAAAAATAAGCTAATCACTTTCTCCCTGCGCCCCTCGCCTGCATCACCACTATTTCTGGGTCCCCAATCTCATAATCCCCTCCACGCCAACAAAGCATTTTCAAACTCATTTCCTGAGAGCGTCTTGTCCGCCATAAAACCACAAATGGAGCAGTAAATAGCCTATAATGCACAACACTATCTTTTTACAGCCTCCTACGCTTCTTTACCATAGGACACAGACGGAGATGATTTTTAACTTAAGGGAGATGGGAGAAGAGACAAAGCAGAGAGAGATAAAACCTATGCTTGTTTTTTGCGATTATGGTTTCTGAAGTTGATTATTTCTGTTTTTAAAGCTGCCCTGCGTGGGGTTTTTCTGTTGTTTGGGAAAATCTATTCACTTCATCTGTTGCTCAGAGGGAAAGGGTTAAAGGTGGGGTCGGAGATTTTCTTTCATTCATAAATAATCCATTGTGTTTGTTTCAGCAGAAAGAGTGTTTTATAAGTAACATTGTATGAACAAACCAGACCGTGACATGCTGGGTTCGTCTTAATAGAAAACTTTGCATACTTGGGGCTGAGAGGTGATTGGCTGTTGTGATTTTCTGGGGGGTTTTTGTGAAAAAGTTGATGTGACAGTGGACATAAGTACATGCTGTGAAAACTAGTGATAGAAGAAAACTGTTTTAAGAGCAAGGACATACTTACATCAACATTGGACAATTCTTTTCTCCAAGGGGCCAAATCGCCCTATTGTGGACGACCGTGCACCTTTACACACGTTTATATTTCATTTCATTTTCTCTGTTGAAGTAGAGGAAGGAGATGGGTCCCCGGGCGCTGTACTACCATAATAATAATAAAAATAATAATAATAAATGCATCGGTTTTATACAGCGCTTTTCAGGACACTCTATATTCATTCACTGATAAACATGGTGGTGATAAATTACTACTGTAGCAACAGCTGACCTGGGGCACACTGACAGAAGTGAGGCAACCAGTCTGTGCCATCGGCCCCTCTGACCACCACCAACCATTCACAAACACACCAGACTCATTCTAGTTAAAGGTTTTGTTAAAGGTACTGTAGTGGTTTACTTTGATCGTCAATAAGAACTTTCACAGGAGCCGAGAATAAAAATTGATATAATGGCTTTATTAACTCAATTAACAATACATGGGAGACCCGTCAATCATGCATGGAGCTCTGCGCAGAAGAAGCTCCCCGTGACTCCTTTCTTTCCTTTTTAACTGCTCCTGTCAATACCAAATATGGAATGGACCCAATAACAGGATCCAGATGTTTCTCTAATGACTATTCCCAAACATCCTCCCTTACAAACAACGTTCAGGTCGAGCCGACCTAGAGCTTCCTAAACATATCCCAAAAGAACATTCCATTTCCGTGTTCAGGTCACCACGACCTATTTATCCTAAAAAGAACATTCCATTGCACTTAGACACACTCATAGCTAAACATTCTACCACATATTTCCCCCCCTTTCAGGGCTCTCAGCCATGAATTTCCTTCAATAACCTCCCCTTAGCCTTAGCAAAGTAGTTACATGAGTTACACAGTAATGTCAAACACTTAGTAGATGAGAGTAAATGAGATAACATAACTTTCAAACACTTGATACATGATACAAAACAATATCACTCTTGAGTGTAGGCGTTGGCAGAACTTGGCTCGCACTTGCATTGTACATTATTTTGATTAAACATGAACTTAAGATGGACGAGTGGTCAAAAAGTAGGTATACTGTCACAGTCCATGTTCTTTTCATCGTCCAACGAGTCGTCCTCCGCTAACCAGTCCTTGATGGGGAACTGCTCTGGTCGGCTACTCTTGCTCTCCACATTCAGCACTAACATCTGTCTTGTTACCCCTCGCACCACTACTGCTCTCAATACCGGAATGCAACAGCAGAGGACAAGACTTATTGCCACAATGCAAATAATAACTGGTACTCCAATCTTCACCAACCCCAGTTTCCATGATCCTAGAGTCTGCTGTAGCCAGCTCAGCCAGTCCAACTCTGCATCCCTTCCAGCATTCTTCTTCATCTCCAACCTTAGAGCCTTGATTTTCCCCATTGCCTGTGTGAAAGCTCCTCCTACTCCTGTATGATCGGGAATAAATGTACAACAATATTCACCCACTAGGGCACAGACCCCTGAGGTCTCTGCCAAAACCCAGTCTAAGGCCTGTCTATTCTGCCAGGCTACAGCACTAGTTGCATGCAACTGCTCTCCCAGGGCTGACATGGCACTATCCGTGTAATTGATGAACTGCTGGAAATTGTAGTAAATGTAGTTTATCCACTCAGTGTTTTTATTTGTGGAGATCCAGGGCAAAATGGATTCAAACCCTGACTTAATTTCAGATCTTGCCTTAAACTCCTCTGGGATCCCTCTAGGCTGCCCAATACTGTCTAAATACACACCAGGGTCTGGTCGGAACGCCCTCTTCACCCTCTTACTATCACTTGTTTCCTCCCCCTGTGGGAAAACAATGAGCTCCTGCACCACCTGCACTCTGACGCATCTTCCGGACCAGTTGCCTGGAAGAACAGGAAAGAGTACTTGGCCTCCACACCACCAAAAGTGATCGGAGAGAGGCGTTACCTGACTATGGAACGGGCATGCAGGGACATACACAGTCTCCAATTGGGGTCCCTTAATCTGGACAGCTCGCTTCAGGGTAGACTTATTACAGTTGGCATTTACATTCCAGATGCTACTACACTTAGTTGCCTTGACTTCTCCCAACCTTACTGACCCTGTCTTTTCTATGCACTCGTACTGGCCTACAGGAAAGAATGCCACACCTCCCGGGGTCCCCATTTTTGCGCTCTGCATGCTTACTCTAACGTCTATCTCTGCACAGCGCTGAGTGTTTGTTTTACCTTTGTGCATAAACTCAACCTGCTCTTTGTACTGCGGGGTTCCCAAATACAACAGGCACTCCGCTTTACACCATACGCGCAGCGGGTCATTCTCTCTTACTGCTGTGTCACTACACTCCTTCCAACTAAACACAGTATTAAAAAGGAACAAAGGATCGGCCCTTGCCTTTGTACAAACGTAGCAGTCAGTCATTCCATTCGTCCGGCCTGCATACTGAACCCACTGATACCAGCTGTTATACTCTGCGCGATTTAGTAGTCTATCTGGCTCTACCTCCTCGGTCTCATCACCTAGCCCTGCACCAATCCTCGAAACAAAACCTCCAGCCGCCTGTCCTATCCCAGCCACCGTCCTGTGAAACCAGTCCGTCCAATTTAGGTTAGTCTTAACCACGTCACTGATCTCTGCAGTTTTTAAATTCATTCTATCCCCGTCATGCTTCTCCATTGAGTTGGAGAAGCATGACGTCAGTCAACAGTACGTCAGGATTTCGGTTTTGGCCATCCGGGACTATCAGGTCAGCCCTACTCTGTCCAGTCAGGTCAGTGTCTGCCTGATCATTCTGATTGTCCGCTAGGTGAGCTATGTCAAGGTTGGTAGGGTTTTTCTGCTGTATTTGGGCTCCAGCATCAGTTTTGTCAGTCAGTTCTGGTGAGTCCATCAGTCTCTTTTGGATGGGCGACACCTTTATCGCAGTCCGGTCCTCTAGTTCTGAGGGCTTCAACAGTCTCTCCTGGATCGGTGACCCTCTGGATAGTGTCCCCTCTTCCAGTTCTGAGGGCCTCAACAGTCTCTCCTGGATCGGTGACTCTCTAGAAGCAAGTTCAGTCCCACGTTCTGTGTGTAGAGTTCCGTCACTCTGTCCTGTTTTGTCTGGGCTGGCGGGTAAGTCCACCCGCATGCCTTGGTCTACAGTCATGTGGTCTTTTTCCTCCATCTTTATAACAGTCTCGTCTTTGTACCCCGGAGGGTTCAATTTAACTTCACGTTCCTCAATTCCAGCAACGAAAAGCTTGGTCCATCCCACAACGTATGTCTGTGGTAATTGTCCTTTCAGTGGGTCAAATTCCACCCGTACTAGCCACACATCGCCTTTTTCCTTTATGGCAATACCACAGTCTCTTTCACCCCACGTTGACCTAATCATCTTCTTTCTCCCAAGTGACCAACCGATCCCACACAGTCGATAGTCAGAAGTTTTCACATAAACATTGAACGTGGTCATGTCATCAGTCCAGATCATAAGGGGCATTTGGGCAGTCCAGCTCACATCTTCTTTGTATGTTCTACTAGGGTCTGTGTACGACCAATTGTCTTCTAGTGGCCATTTATCGATTGCTCTTCTATGTCTCTCGGCCAGTGGGAGTTCCTGTCCCTTCCACCAGGATGACGTCAGGGAACTCAGCGGTACTATCATTGTCATTACCAGCACCACGAGGATCCTCGTCCCCCCCTTCCAAGGACTCGTCGCCTTGGCAGCCATGGTCATTCTTCTCCTTTTCCTTTATGGTCTTTACCTCGTTGCCGTCAGCCGGGGCCTTGACGCAGTGGTTCAGGTGGTACCACGTCGGCGATCCCTTCACCTGCACCGCCGTTGACGTCGCGTTCACAACCTCGTAGGGACCTTCCCTCCGTGGAGTATGCCACTTCCGTCGGAAGGTTTTCACATAGACCAGGTCCCCCGGCTTCACTGCAGGTGGCACCTCCTCCTCCTTTGTCTGGCTCTGCACAGAGTTAATACGAGCAAAAATACTCCTGTGGATGTTAGACAACTGTTTCACATAGGATTTCATGTCATTTGTTAGCACATCAATAGGGGGGCCCTTAGCAGCTCTGTACACCGGTGATGGCATTGGCCGACCAGTGAGCGCTTCATGCGGGGTTAGTTTTAAGCTTCTATTGGCGCTCCCCCTATAGGCCATCAAGGCAAGTGGCAGTGCATCCACCCAATTCAAGCCGGTGTTCATGCAAATTTTTAGTAGTTTGTTTTTTAGTATACCATTTGCTCTTTCAACCATTCCTTGACTCTGAGGATGATAAACACATCCTAACCTTTGCTTGACTCCTAACTTTTGCAACACACATTTTACCGGTTTTGTCTACAAATTCCCGGCCGTTATCAGAGCTGATACGTCGGGGAAGCCCAAATCTAGGAAAAACCTCCCTGCACAAAAACTTTGCCACTGTGTCTGCATTCTTATTTTTTGCAGGTAGGGCCTCAATCCATCTACTAAATCTGTCAATGACAACCAACATGTACCGTTTACCTTGCACTGGTCGAATCATGTCAACATAATCAATGGTTAAATGCTGAAATGGTCCTTCAGGAGTTGGAATGTGACCGGCGGGTGGGGTCATGCCCCTGCGAATGTTACTTTTTAGACATATTTCACAGTGACTAATTACATCGTCCACGTGCTGCTGTAGTTTTGGAGCCCAGAAGTTCCACTCCCTTATCTTCCGCAGCACTTCTCCTCTCGACTCATGAGCCAACCCATGAGCCTCGTTTATCAACAAGGGCAATAACCCGGTGGGTGCAGCAAAGAGCCCTTCATGGTTTCTCCAAAGTCCTTGCGAATCCTTAGAGGCTCCTCGCTGCAGCCACAACTGTCGCTCTGCTTCTGAGACCTCTTCTTGTAACAACAGTAGATCCTTGTATGTTAATTGTTCTTCTAAGTCTATCATGTGAGTTACCATTATGGCATGAGCACCTGCCGAAGCTGCTTGCTTGGCTGCCTCGTCAGCTGCTGCATTGCCTCTCGTGATCCACGAGCTGTCTTTGCGATGAGCCGCACATTTTACAATAGCTATTGCTTTTGGCTTCATCATGGCTGTCAACAATCTCTTTATCTGATTACAGTGGTGGATTGGAGAGCCGTCTGTCTTCCTGAATCTGAAACCTCTTCCTTTCCATGCCGCACCAAAAATATGGCACACACCGTGTCCATATGCTGAATCAGTAAAAATATTTACTCTCTTACCCTCTCCGAGCTCGCATGCGCTCGTCAGGGCCTTCAGTTCCGCTAACTGTGCAGAGCACGGCTGCTGGCAGGTCTCAGTTTGGACAACTTTTATAGCGCTGCCTTCCATACTTACAATGGCATACCCTGCTTTGAGTGCCGCCCCATCTCTGTAACAGGAGCCATCCACAAACAATGTCATGTCTGCCGACTCCAAAGTGGTAGCATTCAAATCAGACCGCAACTTAGTGTAATTTTCTGATTCAGTCACACAATCATGAGGCTCTCCCTCAAACGGTAGTGGGATTGAGTCCGCAGGATTTTTCACTTTACACACGCGGATTGTCACATCGGGATAATCTACAAGTAAATGATACTCTGTTAATCTTTGTGCCCTTAACACAAACTTTCCCTTTTCAAGTAGATTCACCAATTTATGATGTGTCATTATTTCTATGGGGTAACCCATAGTGAGCGCTGACGCTTTTTCGTATAGCAGGTGGGCTGCTGCCAGATTCTGGTAACATTCAGGTAGCCCCATTTCCACTGGGGACAATGCTACAGAGTAGTAAGCAATAGGTTGAGCGTGTGTCCCCACATTTGTTTTCTGGGTCAGCACCCCACAGGCATGATTTTGTCGGCATGAAATAAACAGTTGGAATGGTTTTTCATAATCTGGGAGGGTTAGCGCTGGGACCTGCTGCAACAAAGTCTTGATCCTTTCAAAAGCCATATAACCTTCTGGAGTCCAGATCACTTTTCCTCTCAGGTTTTCTCAGGGGCTGGACAACCAGGGAGTATCCCTCAACCCATTCTGAACTATAACCAGTCATCCCTAAGAATGTCATCCCTAAGAATGTCATCATTTCTTTGACTGTTGTTGGCCTAGGAGCCTGTGATATAGCCTCGAGCTGGGCCGGTGACACTGATCGGGACCCCTCCCTTATCAATCTCCCCAAGTACTCAACTTGGTCTTGACAATATTGCAATTTCCCCAAGGACGCCTTATGTCCTTTTTCTGCGAGCATGGTCAGCAGAGTCACAGAATCTTTATGGCACGTTTCCAGATCAGGTGCACACAAAATAATATCGTCGACATAGCTAATTATGGTGCTGGACACTTTGCCTGACAGTTCTGCCAAATCTTCTCTCAAGATTTTATTGAAAATATGGGGACTTAGTTTTAGGCCTTGTGGTACCCGGCGGTAAGTATAGGATTGATTTCTGTATGTGAACGCAAATAAATGTTGGCTTGAGGGACTTAATGGCACACTGAAAAATGCAGAGCACAAATCAACCACAGTGAACCACCTTGCATCAGGCGGCACATTTGTTAACAGTGTGTGTGGGTTTGGGACCTCAGACTGACAATCCTCAATCACTTCATTCAGGGCACGCAAATCGTGTACTAATCTGTATTTACTTTTGTCTGCTTTTAATATTGGCAATATTGGTGTGTTACTGCACGGGTTTGGCTCTTCCACCAGGATTCCAGCCTCCACAAGGCCTCGAATTGTTTTTTCAATTCCAGCCTCGGCCTCTGGTTTTAAGGGGTACTGCGGTCTCCAAGGGGGTCTGCACCCGGGTTTGAGCTTAACCTCAACTGGCTGTGCTGTCTTAATACGCCCTACGTCAGTGTCATGTTTAGACCACAATTCAGGTGGTACAACAGATAACATCTCTTCCTTGAACTCTGAGTGTTGCTTACAGTTTTCCAAGTGGCACGGGAGTCTGGTAACCTGTGGCTGAGCCCACCCCGATGAGGAGATGTCTACTTTGATATATAACTTGTCCTTGCTTAACCAAATGTTTTTGTTTTCAGTGCACATATACTCAGCTTGCATTGCCTCCTGAACCATAGGACCCAAATGCTTAACTTCATAGTCTGGATTTACTAACAATGTGACATGTGGAAGGCTGTTCTTCACCTTAAACTCTTTTTCTAAATATGCACTGTTCTCAACAACCATTGCTGCTCCCTGTTTCCCTATTATGATTGAATATGCCTTAATCTGGACTCTACCTGGCTGTTTTCCGAGCCACTCCTCTGGACAAGCTTCAGACTTATCTCTAAAAAATTGTAATGTGCAATGTGCAGGGCATGAAGGTGGTGAAGCCTGGGGCATATTTTCTTTTATAAAGTCCATCCATGTGTTTGTGGGTTCCATTAAAGTCTGATCAAGATTTCCCAACCAATACACAACTTCTTCTTCAGGGTTTAATGTCATTTGATAATGTGATGCTTCCACAATCACTCCATCCGGTGAGCACAAAATAGCACAGTTCAGCTTACATAACGCATCTCTTCCCAACAAGTTTATCTGGGTTTGCTCTGATATTAATACTGGCAGTTCAATAGTCTTTCCTTGAAAATGCAGGGGCACTGGGTTGGACAATGGTGTCAGCTGCTTGATCCCTGAGAATCCAACAATGCGAACAAACTGTTGTGACTTGGGAAGGTGGCGGGAATCTGGTTGCCCCACGCAGGTGTAGGCTGCGCCTGTGTCTGCCATCATCTGGACTGGTTTTCCCGCTAGTAGAACCTGCAGCATTGGTTCCTCATCAGGGCTTGATGTTGCCGCCAGCTGATGACCTTCCCCTGGATTCTCAAGGCATCCCTAGTAACCAGCAGGTGGTCCCTGCCATGAGTTTACAGGGCCTCTTGCTGGTGTTCTGCCAGAATACGGTTCTTGGATCTCGTAGTAGGGATCCTGACGCGGCGGTTGTCGGCAGTTCATTTTCATATGTCCGGGTTGTCCGCAGTTATAACATCTTGGGGGGTCTCTTCTCCATCCTCTGCCTCGGCTTCTTCCAGGGGAGTAGCCTCTCCCTCTATTCCCTGCTTGCAGATAAATCACTTGCGGCGCTGGGGCCGGTGTTGGAGGCAGAAATTGAGGGACTGGTGGTTTAACATCAGCAGACACTACGGCTTGTATTTTCTTTTTCCCAGATGACAGTTGTATCTGCGTTAATTTCC